AGTTAGAAGGGCCTGGTTGTGAGGGCTTCTAGGAAACTGGAAGCTTAAGGTTAAGTGCCTTAAGCTTGCCAGTCCTGGCCTCAGTTCTTTCAAAGGAGACCATCTTCCCTCTCTACTTAGAAGTGCCTTAGACTTACAGTGGTAACTACCCTCCAAAGCCTCAAGGGTCAAAGAGGTTCTGCCAAACTTCACTGCTCTCACCTCCCGCCATGTTCTGTAAGGTCAGAAGACTGGTCAGTCTTTCTAGTTTTCCAGCTCTTCAGCTAATTTTGTAACTTAGATCACAGGATTTCACTGAAAGTCTTTGTCTTTTTAGTCTAGAAATACTTTTGGGGTCTGTCTACTCATAGCTGGATCACCCATTTCATGGTTTTACCATACAACTTAGAAGACCAGAAGAGGAGTTTGGGGGAGTGGCACCTGAGATTTTAGCCTCTATTCCTGTTCCTGGGAAGAGGTAAAAAAAAAAAAAAAAGCATTTAGTATGTACCTTTTTTGTCCTATTATTTGTATGTTGTTTAATCCTCATAAAGACCCTCTCAGGTAGGAGACTGACAAAAACTCCTTGCTTTTAAACTTTCTTTTTCTCTTGAAGAGCTTTGCTTATCTAGTACATATAAAATATTTCTGCTGGGCTTGGTGGCTCACAGCTCCCACCTATAAGCACTTTGGGAGGCTGCAGCATAAGGATTACTTGAGCCCAGGAGTTTGAGATGAGCCTGGACAACATAGCATGACCCTGTCTCTTAAAAAAGAAGTTAGCTTGGCACATTAGTGTGTGCCTACAGTCCCAGCTACTTGGGAGGCTGAGGCAGGAAGATTGCTTGAGCCTAGGAATTTGGGGCTTCAGTGAGCTATGATTAGGCCACTGTGCTCTAGCTTACCTGACAGAGGTAGACCCCCATCTCAACAAACACCAACTTTTTGTTTGTTTGTTTTGCAGTTTTTGGCCGGGGTCAGGTTTGAACCCACCACTTCTGGTATATGGGGCCAGCACCCTACTCCTTTGAGCCATAGGCACTGCCCAACACACATTTTCTTTTCCTACTCAAGGAAACATTCTAATTCTTAGCCAATCTATGCAACATGACTATATAAAGCACTAAACTAAGCCTTGTACCTCCATTAAGAGGTGGTTTTGGCTGGGCACCTGTGGCTCAAGTGGCTAAGGCACCAGCCACATACACCTAAGGTGGCAGGTTCGAATCCAGCCCAGGCCGCCAAACAACAATCACGGCTGCAACCAAAAAATTGCCAGGCGTTGTGGCAGGTGCCTGTGGTCCAGCTACTTGGGAGGCTGAGGCAGGAGACTTGCTTGAGCCCAGGAGTTGGAGGTTGCTGTGAGCTGTGATGCCACAGCACTCTACCCAGGGGGACAGCTTGAGGCTCTGTCTCAAAAAAAAAAAAAAAATAGAAGTAACTGAGTAGTATACTTAAAAAAAAAAAAGAGGTGGTCTTTCAGAGATAGCCTACTAGAAATGATGCTGGCATTTCTCCAGGCAATCCTGGAGTGCCTCTGTGAGGATGGCTCTCAGCCAGTTAACAGGCTTGTACCTCAGCCTCATTGCTTAGTACCACTCCTTGGCTGGAGTCCAAGATGGTACTATCCAGTTTATTCATCAGACCTGCCTCTAGGAATCTTTCACCTGTTTCAAAAATTAGAATTTTGGCTACCAAAAGTAAGTGACTGGTACTCCGTCTACATTATCCATTTCTTGTGTATAAAGCCTTCGTGACTCTTTGTTGGGAAAAAAAAAAAAATTAGAATTTTGCCATCAAGGAGCATGTACCATAGATGTCCCAAAGAGGACTGTCTTGTGCTGTTTTGTGTACAGCAGCAATAATGTTGGGCTAAGTGGAACTTTCTTGCAGGCTGCTTCAGAATCAACATTCATTTGATAGGTTACTTTCTGGGCAATCTTTTTAAAAGTTTGATAGTCTGATAGCTGTCATATCCATTCACTATGGAGTGATTTTTACTCACTGAGGTTAAAACTATTTTAGGGTTTTTGTGGTCCCTTGGCCACAGTGGGTGATGTTACTGACAGAAGAAAGCTGGTTTCCAAGGGCTTTGGGTTGTGTAAGAGTAAACACTAAAGGGCGGTGCCTGTGGCTTAGAGGGTAGGGCAGCGTCCTTCTCATATACTGAGAGTGGCGGGTTCGAACGTGACCCCAGCCAAACTGCAACAAAACAATAGCCAGGAGTTGTGGCAGGCACCTATAATCCCAGCTACTTGGGAGGCTGAGGCAAGAGAATAGCCTTACCCCATGAGTTGGAGGTTGCTGTGAGCTGTGACGCCATGGTACTCTACTGATGGCAATAAAGTGAGACTCTGTCTCTAAGAAAAAAAAAAAAAGAGTAAACACTAAAGCCTGAGTTGTAGCCAGTTGGCAAGCATGGAAGTCTTTGAAGAATGTAATGCAAGAAAGTAAAAGAATATAAAGCTTTTTATACCAAATGAGAGTAGGAGCCACTGGAGCTGGGCCAGCTAGTGGGCCCACTATAAGAGCCTCCCTAGAAGGGACATTCCATCTCCCCTGTTCACTATGAGGGGTGTTGCCAACTAGGGATTACCTCCTGTGGGTGTGAGGAAGCCCTTTGGGATGGTGAGTATCCAACCTGCTGTGCATTTGACAAGATCTGCTAATGGCGGAGTTGAGTATCCTTAGCAGGCTCACAAGTTTAAAATGAGGCCTTTGTGTCCAGAAAGAGGAATGAGGATAGATCACCTTTCTACCTCTTGACCTTTTGGAAAAATCTCCAGGGAATGTTGACAATTACTTAAAACATTGTAAGTTCCTCTTTGAATTTTTGTCCTGTCCCTGAAGAATCAGACTACCAAGAAGCCAGAGGCACCCACCCCAAATTTCCCCAGGAGTTGGAGTGATACTAGAAATGAAACCTGAGTAAATGGCTTCTCTGCCTTCTCAGGACCAACAGAATGAGAGACTGGTTGTACGAGATATGTCATGGTACTGAATGTATAAAAACGTGTGTGTTCTGTTTCTTCATTTCCAATGTTTCTGCTGTGTAGATGAATAAAATGAAGTATGCAAATTATTTGAAAATCATAGGTGGAAGGTACTTTTCAAATACATAATTTCTTTTTTAACAAATAAACTTACTATTTTTACAGCACTGTTTTTGCCAAGAGTTGTGAAATCACTTGTGTACATGGAGAAGTGGAGGTTAAATGCCTGCCCTAAAGTCATTCCACCACAGAATCAGCACTGGAAATCTCATCTCTTGCTTTGCCTGCCTATTTTAAGAGCTGTCCTGGTTGGAGCATAACTAAGACTCACGTAGCATTAGAGTTGGAAGGGATTTTTAAAGACATCTCATCCCTACTTCTTCTCTGATACACAATTCCTCTCTGCCCATGAAGAGTCTTTCTGTCATAGGGAGCTCTAATTGCTAGGGTAATTCTGTTTTAGGAACTATTCAGATTGTCATACTAAGCCAAAAGCTGCCTCATGGCACAGCTCTGGAGCGCCCATACCTTTGCCAAATGTCTTGTTAAAATAGCCAGTTTAGAACATGAGTAGTCCCCCTCAGGCTTTCACAGTGATTGGATAGGGACTCAGGAAAATAAAGTGTTGATTAAGAATCACAAAGCTTCCAATGAGGGACTGGGCAGATGAAAACCAGGCACCTGCTCCATTGGAAATACAGCTGAGCAGGAAGGTGGTGCCTCTGTGTGAATTAAAGACATGCCTTTGCCCTGGGGCACAAAGCATGCCCAACTGGATTTTATCCCCTCCTGGTCCATTCAACTGGCTATCCTTGTACATTGGTCATTGCATTGTCATACTTATTTGCCCTGTTTCAACACTTGAAGTGATTTGGGAAACTATTCTAACAGGTTTCTGGCTTCCATTTCTACCTTTTACTCAGTCTAAAAAGGTTTCTCCCTCTTCTAGCCATTGTGCAGTTTATTCTGCTCTACAGGTATTTCTCCTCAGTATAGGCCCGTTTCTGCCCCTAACCTTTGCCTCTCTGATGTTGCCCAACTTTGGTTTTGTGGCAGCCTGTCCCCATACATCATTCAGGTAATGATCTGCCCAAGTGTCCTCTCACAAGGGCTGCAAAGTTGCAGGGACTGCCTTTTAGAGTATCACCAATACCTTTGGTGTGTGAAAGGAAGGATTCCAGCTCTTTAAATAATGAAAAGAACGTCCAGGAGTGCACTCAGCCTGTTGTAGGGAACCTAGTGGGTTAACTTTTTCTCATACTATGTTTTTCCCAGACTCTTCTGGGTCTTTCGACTTCCTCTCTTAGCTTACCTACACCTGGCAAATTAATCCTTACCTACCCTACGCTGACACCGCTTATATCTATTTAGTCTCTGTCGCTATATTTCAAGTGTTGATCAGTTGAGGAAATACATCTTGGACACAGTGACTTCTGGCTAGTACACTGTGTACTTGTACACCCGAAAATAAAAAGTATCTGATGAAAGGAGCCCTCCTCCGGAGTGTGCTGTGCCGGGGGAAGCATAAGCCAAATCCAAAACGCTTGGATTTCTTAAGGATCAGCCAAGGCTTTGTGCCTGCTTCTCTGCAGATCCACCTCACCCCTTAAACAGAGGCAGGCATGAGGCGCCCAGCTGAGGGAGCTTCCCCAAAGTCTCACTGCTGGATGGTCGAGGTGGCGAAGGGAAGCTTCTCCAGCCGTATGCACGATGACAATCCCGGGTAGAGCTGGAAAGCTGGCCTGACCCCGGAGGTCCCCGCCTCCCCGTGCTTCCCCGGCAAGAACTGGGTAGACAGAACTTCTTGTCATCTGGGTGTCAGAGCTGTCCCCAGGCCACAGCCCTCGGCGCCCAGGTCCTCAGAGGTTGGGACACCGCCCACTTTTCCCCGTGACGCGGCGCGGGGGGCTCGGGAATTGTAGTCTCGGGCCCAGAGCGGGCGCAGTGGCTGGGGCTGCGCGGACTTCACGTCCCGGCGGGCAGAGCGGCGCGGCCGGGGGCCGCCAGGGGCGGGGCCGCTCGGCCCTTTAAACCTTTCGGGGCTGCTCCGAGGGCCGCAGCCGGAGACGGCGCCACGAGGGGGCTGGAGCGGGCGAGGTGACGGCGGGTTGCTCCTGGGAGGTGAGTACTGGGCTCCTTCCTTTCCCCGAGACCTCTAGGGATCTCCTGGGGAAGATCGTGTGCGGGAGGGGTCGCCGGCCGCGCACTCCTGCCCTATTAGGGGGTCCCCGCGCCCACGCCAGCGGGGGCCGAGCTGGGCTTCCCGCCTGAACCCGCCCCTTGCCCGGGGCGCCCGTGGTCAGGTGGCTGTCTGCGCGCCGCGGCTGCCGCTCCACCGGGCCGCACACCCTCCCAGCCTCTCCTTGGCTTGGCCCCCTAATTACCCAGTCCTTCCAGCCGTGGTCCCTCAGGCGACGGAGGGTGACTCCCTCTCCAGCCCGCTTGAGTCTCAGCACGCCAGTGGCATTTGGGTTGGCCGCAGAGGCTCCCAGTGGATGCCAGAGGGTGACCACGTTTTAGCGGGGATTCAGCCCAAAGTTTGGACGCTCAAAGACCCAACGGGATCTCTGGGTGAGGTGTTGACCACCTATCCCTTCCTTGGCCAGTACCCAACCCTGGACTTTGATTTGTCTCTCTCCACAAGGCCAGGGCAGCTGATGGTTGTGGCCGAAATACCTCAAGGTAGCCGGGCTGCCCCCCTCTTCCCCACCTACCTCTTGTCCTCCCCCCCACACCACCACCACCCTGGCTCCCCTCCCTCATGACCGCCTGGATCCTCCTTCCTGTCAGCCTGTCAGCATTCTCCATCACTGGCCTATGGACTGTGTGAGTAAGGGGTGGGGAGCAACAGAAGCTTGATGGCGCACCCAAGTCCTATGTCCTGTTGTGGGCTCCAGGGTGGTATCTAAGGCCACTCTGGCTGTCTCCAAAGTCTGGCCTGGTGCCTGGACACACAGCCCTTTAGGACCAGCTGGCATTACTTCTGTCCAGCAAGGTGGTCCTGACAGATAACACTTCTAGCTAGGGCAACTTACCAGAGGGTCTTTAGTTGTGGGCTGTGCTGCAGGTTCTGGTGTGGCATCAAGCCTTAGAGGTACCCTAACTGGAGTCCCCAGCAAGGACAATTAGACTCAATGGGGCCAGAAATCAAAGTAGAATAGTCAGTGGGGGTGGCTGGGCCAGGACGGGATGGGGGGCAGGGTGACAGTTCTGCTCCCACAGGTATGCCATGGCCGTGATGAACCACCATGTGTGCCCCGTGGAGAACTGGTATGGAGCACTCTACAGACAGCCTCACTCTAAAGAGCCCTTCATCTCTGTCCCCTCCTGGGCAGACAGCTAACAAGAGCCAGATGGAGACCCTGGGCCTTGTTGCTCTTCTCCAACATTGGTCTCCAGGCATGGCTTCATGCCTACTTTCCCAACATCCCCTTGCCCATTGGCCTTCTGTTTCAGGTGGACGCTGGGTAGTGGGTTCTTCTGCCTCTGCTGGGGAGGTCTGGGAGAGGGTCCTCTTCAAAGGCTGAGGCTATAGGCCAAGAAAGCCACTTCCCCCAGTCTACTCCCTGTCCTGCCTGCCAGGTCCTACAACGAGTCCTGCTCTCCTGACCCTGCAGAGCAAGGGGGCCCCAAGGCCTGCTGCACCCTGGACGATGTCCCCCTCATCAGGTAAAGCCTGGACATTGGGCAGATGAGGGAGACCAGGGCCCTTCCAGACCCCCAGACAGCTCCTCAAGCAAAAACTGCCCTTGGATCTCAAGAATAACTGTCCTAAGAGCCAGTTACTATCCCCTGGGCTCTGCTGAGTACTCTATATGCATAGTCTCTTTCAGTCAGTCCTTCCAGCAGGAAACCTGCTATTCATTGTCTTCACAATTTTATGAGTGAGGAAACTATGGTTGGAGCTTGTTTATTCATCCAGGACACACAGCTAATAAATGTAGGCATCTGGATTTAAGCTCAAGCCCTCTGACTGCCCAACACAAGTTCTGGCTTAAGGATAGCCAGAGCAGTTGCAGGCCTTGACAGAGTCTCAAGGTTGGCTGAGCACCCATGGGCACTCCCTTCTCTCACAAGAGCTCTGCTCTGGGGCTCAGCGCCTATAGCTCAACCGGCTAAGGCGCCAGCCATGTACACCTAAGGTGGCGGGCTCGAATCCCCAGCCCTGACCCGCCAAACAACAATGACGGCTGCAACCAAAAAAAAAAAAATAGCCAGGCGGCGTGGCGGGCGCCTGTGGTCCCAGCTACTTGGGAGGTGGAGGCAGGAGACTCGCTTGAGCCCAGGAGTTGGAGGTTGCTGTGAGCTGTAATGCCACGGCACTCTGCCCAGGGGGACAGCTTGAGGCTCTGTCTCAAAAAAAAAAAAAAAAAAGAGCTCTGCTTTGGGGGCTCAGCTTGGAACCAGTGTGAATGAGGGGTACAGGCTGTAAGCATAAATCTAGCAGCTTGCCTGCTAAGGAGAGGCACAGATACAGCAGGGAAGAGCCAGTGGGCTGGACTGGGGACCCTCTGGTGCTCTTCCTCCTCACCCAGTCCTTGCCCCCTCCTCAGCAAGTGCGGCACATATCCCCCAGAGAGCTGCCTCTTCAGCCTCATTGGCAACGTGGGTGCCTTTATGGGTGAGTTGTACTCTGAGCTCTTGACTTGCTAGCCTAACCCTGTTCCCCACAAGGACTCAGAAATCCCTAGCTTTTCACAATCCTCCCCACCAAGGGCTAAGGCTAGAGGGGCAACTTCTCTCCCATTCCTTTTTTTTTTTTTTTTTTGAGACAGAGTTTCACTTTGTCACCCTTGGTAGAGTGCCATGTATCACAGCTCACAGCAACCTCCAGCTCTTGGGCTTAGGCGATTCTCTAGCCTCAGCCTCCCGAGTAGCTGGGACTACAGGCACCTGCCATAACACCTGGCTATTTGGGGGGGGGGGGGTTGTTGCATTTTGGCTGGGGCTGGGTTCAATCGCACTGCCCTCAGTATATAGAGCCGGTGCCCTACTCACTGAGCCACAGGCACCACCCTTCTCTCCCATTCCTTAAAGGCCAGAAGTTAACTGCCACACAGCTGCCCTGCTGGCCAGAGCCTGAGGAAACCCAGTTCACCACTTGCCTGCCCCTTCCCTTCCCACCCTCAGAAGGAGCAGGAGCATCCTAACTGGCTCACTGGGTGGGGCCAAGGTGGGAGGAAGGTGCTGCAGGTGCTGGCCCCAGCTGTGCTGTCCTCCCACAGTGGCCCTGATATGCCTCCTGCGCTACGGGCAGCTCCTGGAGCAGAGTCGACACTCCTGGGTTAACACAACAGCACTCATCACAGGCTGCACCAATGCTGCGGGCCTCGTGGTAGTCGGCAACTTTCAGGTGACTTGCCCCCCCCCCCCCCCCCCCCGCGCTGAACTTTTCACCTAACAAGGACTGGAGAGACTAAGAGGGAAAAGAGGAAGAAGATGGGAGGAGAGGGAAGGAAAGAAGGGTTGTGACCTGGAGGGGTGGGGCCGCTTCACGGATCAGCCCCTCTCTGGGCCCAGGTGGATCATGCCAAGTCTCTACACTACGTTGGAGCTGGTGTGGCCTTCCCTGCGGGGCTGCTGTTTGTCTGCTTGCACTGTGCCCTCTCCTACCACGGGGCCACTGCACCCCTGGACCTGGCTATGGCCTACCTGCGAAGTGTGCTGGCTATCATCGCTTTCATCACCCTAGTCCTCAGTATCCTTCCAGGACTGGGCAGCTTGTTCAACCTCTAGCTCTCAGCCTTCTGTCACCCAAGCAGGGGCTGGGAGGCCTATATTTCAGCTAACACTGCCCTATGCTCTGCCCCTCTGGGGAGTTGAGGCCTGATCTTTGGCCCCAACTTAGTTATAGTCTGGGACTACAGATAGGGTGTTGCCGGGTTTCTACACAGCCTACTGTGCATTTCCTTAGCCCCAGTTCAGGTGGTGTCTTCTTCGTCCATGAGAATTCTCAGCTGCAGCATGGGGCAGCCTTGTGTGAGTGGGTGTTTGTCATCGATATCCTCATTTTCTATGGTACCTTCAGCTATGAGTTTGGAGCAATCTCCTCAGACACTCTGGTGGCTGCATTGCAGCCTACTCCTGGCAGGGCCTGCAAATCCTCTGGGAGCAGCAGCACCTCCACCCACCTCAACTGTGCCCCCGAGAGCATCGCCATGATCTGAGGTCTGGGGAGGGTGGCTGGCCCGGCCTCCGCAGCACCCACACCACACTACACCATATCATCTTTGCATTTATTTTGTACCAAAAACAATTTGAGAAAGTGTTCTGTTGGGATCTAGGCTTCCTTACTCCCAGAGAAGTGGCCATCCCACATCCACCTGTGCCATAGAGGAGCAGGACCTACCAGCTGCCACAGCTGCACTACCTACTCCCCCACCCCAAAATGTTGTTTTGTGTTTAAAGGTCACCTGTCCTCACTCACCCAGCCAGCCCTTCAGGTGCCTTCTAATCCCGGTGCAAGAGCCAGACCACTGGGGTTTCCTGCTGCAGGAATTGGGGGCTGGGAACAGCAGAGGGGATAGAAGTTGTGGGGGGAGTGAGCATGCCTTAGTCTGTATGGTAAGGTCCACTTCTGGGCCCACTGAGCTGCACCGGGATTCTTCACTCTGCCCCTCACTTTATGGCAAATAACACAGCAGAACCATGTGGGTATTTTAGTACTTTTTTTTATATCTATTAAAAGAATTCTAATTTGCATGTTTGTAGTCTTTTCTGTAGTTAGGGAGGGCCTGATCTAAGACTGCCTTTCCTAAACAAAGGATAGTAGGAAGCCCCTTAGGAGTCTCCCAATTGTTTTCTGTTTTAGAGCAGGGCTGCCAGAAACAAAAGATGCCCAGGGCTATCCAAATGCCCCCTGAGGGTTTAAATCCTTTCTGGGCCTCTAAAGAACTGACCTGGTCTGACAATCTTATGCTTCTTCCTTGACTCCGAGTCCAGTTTGAACTTTGACTCCTTAGCAGATGTTGGATGGGATAAGAGAAGGATACAGAATGGTGTAAAAGAAAAACCCCGGGATATAGAGGTTTACTAAAGGTACCACACTTAACTAGGAATTGCAGAGGGAGGAGAATGTAGGCTAGTTTATTAGCTTTAAGTAGCTACTGATTGGCAGACCTGACACATTTTGCCTTCCAACCAGGAACACATAAATCCAAGCCCTGGCTGGCCCCAGTGATCTAGTTCTCTACCTGGGCTCCATGCCCTAAGTCCAAATGGGCCAGCAGAAAGGGAAACACAACCTGATGCTTTCTCTGGTTTAGGACCACCTTCCCCAATACCAGTAGGGACCTGGTGGAGGATGCAGACCCCCCTGCCTGGGCCTGTGAGCAATGAAGCCACAGGATGAGTAGAAAAACCTTTAATGAAGACTCAAGGTGCAGGAGACAGACTTAGAGGGCCAGTGCTCAGCCCCAGCCTCCTCACGTGTACATGGCTGCACGGAGGTTCTCCAGTCGCTGCTGCTGCTGCTGCTTTCGAGCCTAGAGGAAAGAGGACACACTGGGGAGGGGCCAAACCTGAAGGTCTTGGTAGGAGCAGTTGTAATGGGGCTGGCCCTTGTTTTCAAGCCTCTGAGAGGCTGCTGCCCCTCACCAAAGTCACTAAGAAGGCAGCTAGAGCCAGGAATCTCAGGCCAACCCAAACATGCTGAGGTGGGAAACGATAGCAGGGACAAGGCCAAAGGAACCCATCAGGACCTCCTCCACTTAACCACCAGCCCCTACCTTCTCTCGTCTGTGCTCCTCGTAAGTGTCATCATCAGTAGGTAGCTCATGGCGGCACAGGGGGCAAGAATTTGTCTGGGAAAATGAGAGCAGTGTTCCAACCCAGGTCTGGTATCCATAAGCTAATAACCCTCTCCCACTCCCAATTTCCACCCTTCTGTCCCCCAACTGCCCACAAATAAGTTTGAGATCTGGGCTTATGTAAGGGTGAAAGCTAGAAGTAAAGTGGTACCTTGCTTAGCCAGGGCAGAATGCAGTTGGAATGGAAGAGGTGATGGCAAGGCATCTCAATGACAGTCTCCTCCTCCTCAAATTCCAAAAGGCACACGGGGCACTTGAGCTCTTTAGGAGGAAGTGTTGATCAGGAGAGGTGCTATAGCCCCCACCTCCCAGCTCCCACTCCTGAAGGACACTCTTGCTCCAACCTGGCCTGGAAACTGAAGGGTCAGACTGTGGCCGCCTAAGAAAGAAGATGGTTCTGGCAGAGCTGCCCCCAACAGCAGAAGTAATTAGTGTCCTCACCAGCCTGAGGGCCTCTAATAATCCTCCTGGGAAGGTTCTGGACCACAGTCTTGGCAGCAGGTGGAGGCAGACGGTGTTCCCAATCTACTATCAACCTCAAATCTTCAAAGTCCACACTATGGAAAAGTGACCTACGGAGGAGCGTGCAAGGTCAGAACCGAGGAAAACCATACTTTCTCTCTGTCCCCATAATATACAGGCATTAACATGTAAATACCTTGCCCTGCTAGTAGGAAATGGTTTACAGCTATCAGATTGTTTAGTCTCATTTTACACATGAGGCAACATGCTCAAAGAATTACTTAGGACGCAATGACGGATCTGGTAGAGCCAGATTCCAAGTCGGCAGTGTAGGCTCCCGTGCCCGGCGTCCCAAACGAATATACCTGCACTCCCGCACACAGCCCCTATCTGACCCCATGCCCCGCCTTCTCCGTGCCTCCCAGAGCCTGCGGGCCTCCCGCTCCTACTCCCACCACTCTTTAGTCTCAGTGTTTCCCACATCCCCAAGCCCTGGCCCGCCCACAGACAGCCCAAATTATCGAAATGTACACGCCCTCCCCTCAATCTTGCCGCCAGGACTAACACTCCAGATTATTCATCCATCCTCCCCACAATCTGCTGCCCCCAATACTCTCCCTTTTCCAGCCAGCCCCAGCCCAGAATCCTGCTGCCTGAGCCTAATCCTCAAGGCCCGCTCACCCACCTTGCAAGCTCCAGTAGCATGTTGGTTCGCATCTCCTGCTCGCCATCCAGAGATTCGCAGTCATGTTCATCGAAATAGGACGCCATGGCTTCCGGGCTGTCTGACACA